ACAAAAAGCCGACCGGGAAGGACGCCACCACCACTCAGGATCCCATCTGCAACGATAGTAAGGTCCCCAAACTCGGCCATCCATAGGGCGTGGAAGTCGCACAACGTCAAGAGGGAGATGGGGCGGTCTACGACGACCCCTGGCCGAACCTACACCGTCACCAAAGGAGGCCAATCGTCCGGAATTTGGAAGCTCTTTCTCGGATTTGGGGGAAGGGATGCCGCCGCTGGGGAGATAGGGTTTTTGTTCCAAAATTTTATCTCCTACTTTTACATCAAATCAATTTTAATTATTTTATTTTAAATATTATTTTAATACATTATTAAAATCTCACTAGCAACTAAACATACCACCCTTTCAAAAATTAACTATAGTTAACTAAAATAACTTATTTCGAATGACTTGTTTCATAAACAAGCACACCCTAAGGGTCTGACTAGATATACGTTATTTCGAATTTGATTGAATTTATTAGATAAAGTGAGTTAGTTTAAATAATAATAATAAAAAAAAAACTGATTGAATATGGTTTGAGATATTTTTTAGTGAGATATTGAGTTTGTATTAAAGCAGTATCTAAAATATAGTGATTAAAAATGATGTGATGTAAAAGTAAAAGAGAAATAATTTAAAATAATAATTAGTTAAAATTATGTGAGTAAATAAATTGTAAATTAAAGTTGATGTGATATATTGATTGATGTTATTTCGTTCATATTGAGAAAAAATTATCATATTGAGAAAAAAGTTGAGTTAAAGTTATATTTGGATTAAGTTTAAGTTAAAATAATTATCAAATTTGGTCATGTGATATTGCGGCAATTTATTTTGCGTGGACACGTGATTTAATCTTGAAGTTGGCACACTAATGTTTGCCTACAAGTTAGTATAGTATATGAACAATTCCGGAATTCCAAAAGTTCAAAGATTTGATTTTCATAACACCAAACTACTCATTCACTTTGATGAAATTTGTTGGCCATTAACAAATCCTTCCTTACCAAATGTAACAACACAACCAGGTCAGCCACCACAAGCACCACACAATACAAATCCTCAGGCCCTTTAGCAGCAATACAAAGGATCCCAAGCCCCTATTTCATCAGTCAAATACATACATACAATAAAAACTAACAGCCAACAGCCAACAAAAGTAACATAAACCCCCAATTTTCATCATAATCTGCAAACACCTCAGTACATCCTTCCTGTACACTCTGCAGCACCGCAGTAACACTTCTTCACCTTAATATTGCCATCTGAGTCCTGAATCTGATCCACCGAGTAGTTATAGTGATAGGTCAGCTCCTTCAAGGGCGGAATATTCTCCATTGCAAAGAGCATGATGTGCGGCATCTTCATATCATCGTGATCGTAGATAACATTCTGGGCATATAGATTAGGCGCACAGCTGTGATTAATAAATCTTCCTATATTCCCATGCCGGCACGCATCTATAGTGTACCCGCCATCCTCAACAAGCTCAGCCGAGAGAGCCTGATCCTCGGCGTTGAGAGACGAGTCACTCAGATTCTGCCCTATGTCGAATAAATACTCGTCATTCCCAATCCTCCTATCCGCTTCTGTGTGCTTTAGAAGCTCCCCCGCATACTCGCAGATGAAGCTTCCGGAAGGTATTGAGGTCAGGGGCCGCACCCCCCACCCCCGTGTCCCGGTCTTGAAGACCTCGAGCTGGTGCCTGATTCCGCTCTGGCTGACCCTGTTGTAGCAGGAGGGCGGGCACTTGCAGTGGGGCCCACACTCGTACACCAGAAGCTTAGTCTCCACGAGTGCTCCGTTGCGGTTGTAAGGAATCTCCCCACCATTACGGACCGCGCACCGGCACTTCCTCGAGTCCGAGCACCGGCCCGTGCAATCGCAGCCAGGTGGTGCCACAGGCTTGTGCCAGCTAGGATACATCATCCTCTCGACGTAGTCGAACGAGGGAGGCTTCTCATCGTCTATAGTGTTCACGGCCGGAATACCGAATGGCTCCTTTCTCCCTGATATGTCCATGATACACACACTGGGCCGGAACCGGGCATTGTTCGACTTCTTCAGCTGCTTCCAGGGGAGTTCAGGTTGGCCGGGGTTTCTATGCAGCTCAAACATGAAGACTTGCTTCCCATGGCCATGGGGCCCGGTCTCCGTCCAGTATTTCTCGACCGTGTAGAGCCCGTCGTATACATACATAGTCACCAGCTTTGGTTTGGGATCGAGAGGGTCCACAACCTTATACTTCCACCCTCGGACCACACGGACGGGCGTTTTCGCATCTATGCTGTTCTTCAAGGCCAAATTTCCCCTAACGAGCTTTTGATCTTGGGGTTGCTGCCTTTGCTTGCCGACAACATTTCCTCCCTGCCCAGAGTATATCAAGACGTCAGCGTTTTCCAGATCATCCGAATAAGACCCAGACGAGACGATGCTAACGGCAACCGGTAACCCGTTTTCAAGCTTCATGGAGTCTATGCCGTTCTGGTAATGGCGATGGATGCCGACAACTGCAAGCTCGACTCGGTATTTAAACTCGTCCCCAACCTGAACTCCGGGAACATCTCCCAGGATCTGTTTATCGCTGTTGACTTCTTTACCTTGCTCCTTGATAGCATTGGCGGCCAAAAGGTCAACCCTTTTGTCATTTCTCCCAGGTTTTCCTTCGTCCTCAGGGGTCGCGTTTGCTTCTTCTTTCTGCAGGAGCTTTCTGCATATGGCATGGAACAAACAAAGGGTCTCTCGGACTTTGTTGCGGGCGTCTCCGTTGCCGGAGCTGTTGGGGCCAAAGAGGGGTAGGGTGACCTCGAAATCCTTCTGTTTAAGGGATTTTTTGGATAAATTCCCTTTTTTACTTTCACCATTCGCAGATAGCAAGGTGCCGGGACTCCCATCGTCATCACCATCATTATTGATACGGACTTTCTTGCGCTTTTTGGACAGAGGTATTAATGATTTTACATTCTGAATACTTTTCCTAGCAATGGCCTTTGATATGTGCCGCCTGGAGGGACTAAACTCATTTTTTTCTCCACTCATTCTCCAATCATGCTTATTTCTCGGAGATCTTTTCGCTTTCTTCCAAGAACAGTTTGGTTCAGCCATCAGAGCATATATAATCTTCCTATTCTCGTCACCATTTGAGCTAGAAGCACTATGCAAAGGCTTGAATCTTTCATCCCTTTTTCCTGGATAATTAACGACATCTTTTCCAGCATGTTCAGCTGAAATAGGAGCACCAATCTCAGGCATATCTTCATCGTGGAAGACAGAATCTCCGGTTTCTAATTCCTGAATATTGCTTTGCCGTAAGGTACCGCTGCTTTTTCCTGAAAGTAATGGCTGTCCACCAGCCCCACCATCACTCAATGCGGTTAACTCATTCACGACAGGGGCTTTTTTGAGTCTAATCACATATTTTCCTCGGGAAGTCTGTGTTATCTGTCTAATTGTCCCATCCTGCAGAACAGTTCCTGGCAGACTTTGATGTGATGCAGATTTAAGCTTCACACCTCCACCCGCCCAGCCTCCTTCAACCGGTAAACGAATATTTCTCCCACAGTAGGGAGGGAAGTCACGAACTGCAGACACAGTCGTCGTACGGTATTTGAACTTCACCCCAACAGAACTATCCTGAGATGGCTTGGCCTCCTCCAGACCTGATTTCTTAACCAAAGTCAATGGTTGCACTTTGTTTATCTCATTCAGCAATGTCTGGCCTCTATCCTCAGTTTCTTTGTGAGGGGAATCAGTTTTCGCACCATCCAGTGCATTAATTTCATTGAGTTTACCATTTGTGATCAAATTTTCAGCAGCATCCATAAAACTTTCCTTTACCTTTGTTGCTGTAGTTGTCCCTTCCCCAAAACACACGTCCATTGACTCAGGCCTCTCAACTTCCATAGGATTATTTACTGCTTCATGGCCTTGATGCTCAACCTCATTTGGCAACTGAAATCCGGGTGGCAAAGCCGATGGATTCTCATCCAGATTCGCACTTGCCGTGATTTTTCCCACCAATGCTTCCAACGGCTCAGTCATATCCACATCCACAGCAATAGATAACGCTTCATGTGATTTGCACTCCACTTTAATATTTGAGTTTTTCACACTGCTACATCCGACATTATTTTGTAAGTAGGTATCTGTTTTCGTCTCCCAATCCTTCACTACCTCATTACTCTCTGCTTTGATGTCGGCTTCAGAATATCCGACCGGCTGGGGCCCAATTGTTTCAGCCATTTCAGGACTTCCAAAAGTATTAGCCAAGATGGGTCCAGGTTCACTGCCTCTAATTTCTTCGGGTTTCAAATTCACCGGCACAGTATTACGGCCACAAAGTAGGGGAAAGTCCCGGACTGCAGATACTCTCCTCCTGGGCTTGTATTTGGGTATGCAACCGTTCTGCAGAGGCCGTATGTTGGAGAACTCACCCGGGGCACCATTTGAAATAGAAGCCATTATCTGAAGGGTACTGATGACAATGAGAAGTGAGAATGAATACAATGAAAAAGAAGAAAAGTAAAGTGTAATGCTATTCATACAACTAATAAATGATAACATCTACACATCTATCCATCCACAAATCAAAGCCCACAGGCCATAACACTTGTATCCCCAAAAATTAACACACCGCAGTGAACATTTGACAACTTTCTAACACAAAAAATTAGGGCATTCAATAGAAAACTCTAATCTAGTTCAAAGCAAACATTCCGAGAACAACAATCTAGCCAAAACAACAAAGAAAAAAAAGGAAAAAAAAAACAACAACAACGAAGAACAGGCAAATGCACAGGCACCTACCTGGTGAAGAGAATCCGTCGATTAATCAGTGCGTAAAAATGAAACGATGAAGATGAGATCACCAAGCAGCTCACCGGAAA